TGCATTCCATTGTGTCACTTCTCTTTGGAATAGATACAAATATGGATCTCTTCCAATCAGTTGGCCAGGTAGCTGTATCCAAATTTCTTGGCAAATATGAACAAATGCCTCCAGTGCTACATCAGTTTGATGAAAGATTTCAATTTATATTTCATAAATTCTTGTAGCCTTGTTCTTTGCCTATGCCTTCAGTGCACCTTTGACTCCTTCCTTCATTATCATCAGTTCTTGATCATAAGCTACCATTTGAAATTGTTCAATATTAACCATTTATTTTGCACACAGTGACTCTGTGTATTATTTCTATCTTCTTTTGATATTTTCAGCATCATTGAAAAATCTGTTTATTGTTGTTGTTAAATGCTGTTGAGTCAGTTCTTATTCATAGTGACTCTGTACAGGGTTTCCAAGGAGTAGCTGGTGAGTGGGAACTATTTATTTGTAATTCAAATAGGCTTTGTGGTCCAGTGCTTATTCTATATCACTACACCAGGACTTTCATGCTGGTAAGTGTCATTGAGTCAGTTGCAACTCATAATGACCTTGCATAGGGTTTCTGAGGAGTGGCTGGTGAGGTTGAACTGCTGACATGTGGTTCAAAATGAACTTGTAGTTCAGTGCATTAACCCACAATGTTACACCAGGACTCAAAATTGTAAGTCAAAGCTTGAATTTTTTCTTCAGTTCTTTCAGCTTGAGAAATTCTGAGAAATTCTTCCCTTTTGGTTTTCGAACTCCAAGTCTTCACACATTTCATTACAGTATTTGACTTTGTCTTTTCATGTCGCCCTTTGAAATTTTTTTATTCAGTTTTTTTGCCTCCTTATTTCTTCAGTTCGCTTTAACATCTCTATATGGGAGAATGGGTTTCAGAATCTCTTCTGCTATCCATGTTGATCTTTTCTTTCTTTCTTGTCTTCTTAATGACCTTTTGGTTTCTTGTTGTAGGAAGTTCTTTATGTCTTCCCACATCTCTTCTGGTCTTCATTCATTAGTAGCTAACTCATCAGGTCTATAAACACTTGACCTCAAGTGGCTCAAACTCATCAGTTACTCCTCAGAAACCCTATACAGGATCACTATGAGTCAGAACCAGCTCCACAGCACTTAACAACAGCAATTCCTGATATGGTTTCTAAATTCAGCTGAGAAATTTTCAAACACATTTTGGTTCTTTTGAACTTCTTTAAAATGTCTGGATTTACATAGAGCAGTTGATACTGTGTTCTATAGTCTGCTCCTGGACTTGTTTTGGCAGTTGATAGTAAGCTTTTTTTTTCCCCCCCCCCACATATATAGTCAATTGGATTTTTTGTGTATTCCATCTGTGGAGGTCCGTGTACATATTCATCATTTACATTTGTTTATAAAAAGTATTGCAATGAAGAATTAATTGAGCTTGCATAATTCTATAATGCTATCTACAGAATTATTTCAATTGCCCAGGTCATATTTCCCAACTACTGATCCCTCATTTCCAATCTTCACATTCCAATCACCAGTAATTATGGATACATGTTGATTGTATGTTTGATCAATTTCAGACTGAAGAAGTTAGTAGAATTCTTCAATTTCATCATCACAGACTTTAGTGGTTGGTGTGTACATTTGAAAAAGGGAGGTACGGATGAAATATCAAAATTACTTTAATTTTACTCTCCATTTTCTGAACTGATAACTAGGGAAATTTAATGTTATGAGAAGCAGCTCCAACAATTTTTTTTTTTTTTTTTGAGGAGTCTGGTTCTCTGGATTTTAATGAGAGTGTCCAAAAGTGTAGTTCCAGGCTCTCAATTGATAGGAATACTGAGGAGGTATTTGACAATGGAAAATTATGGTTGGTAGTTCATTGAATGATTCATTAGCATACATCAGTGGTCATCAGAAGAATTCACACAACAGTTTAGACTATACGCCTTCAGAGAATACAAAGAGAATACAAAGGCTTACTATAAGTCCAAAACAGAGCTTACCTTTTCCTGACTGTTTCTCTCATAGGAAAAAGTCACGTGCGTTTTTCCACATGTCAAATAGATTTCCAGTTGGAAGGGTACATTGGACACACTTTCAAAACTTGAATATGTTTAACATTTTTTGAATGAAGGAAGTTCTTTCATCTTGAGCAATACATACCATGCTGTTGCTAATTGCCTTTGAGTTGGTTCTGACACATTATGGTTGGTATGACACTGTATAGTGTTTCTAAGGAGCAGCTTGCTATATGTTGTTAAGTACAATCAAGAAGGCTCCAACTCATAACAATCATATATAGGGTCTCCAAGGAGCAGCTGGTAGATTTAAACTGCCAACCTTGTGGTTCATAGTCCAGTGCTGGCAGATCCTACAACAGCACACCAGGAGTCAATATGTCTCTATATAGTTAGATGCCTTTGAGTCATAGCGACACTCTCTATATAGGGCTTCCAGGGAGTAGTTGGTGAATTTGAACCACTGACCTTGCTTCTGAAACTGACCTTGTGGTCCAGTGCATTATTCCACAGTGTCATTCCAGGAATATCGCTATGGGTTGGAACCGACTCGACGGCACTTAACAACAAATATATATATATGTCTGTGTGTGTTTGTTATTTAGTGTCTCGAATCAATTCTGACTCATAGTGATACTATATACAGTTTCTAAGGAATGGCTGGTGGGTTTGAACCACCAACCTTATGATTAGAAGTCCATTGTTTATTGTACAGAGACACATTGGATTATCTCTATCTCTCTCTGTCTCTTGTCTTTCCCTAAATATTTATATGTATGCATATTTGTAAGAAAGAAAAGTACTACTATAAAATCATAGAAACATTTATTATACAAAACAGCATAATATGTCTCTATTATGTCTTGGTATATTCTCTATCAAAGTTAATACATTCTGAGAATGATGTTTACATCTTTCTAACTCTTCCCTTTGCTCTTTGATTTACAAAACGTGGAAATCTCAATTTGACATTCTGGAGAGATTCCAGTCAAGTTCCTTTAAATCATGTTATGAGTTTTCAGAACAAAAAGAAGTCTGAAGGGGCAAGGTGAGGGCTGTAGGGAGGTTTGGGTAAGGTCTGCCAACAACTTTCTCATAGGGCAGTCCTTGCTACCTTAAAGAATAAGCAGGTACATTGTTATGATTCAAACATATTTCTTAGCATAACATTCCTGGCCTTTTTCTTAACAATGCAGTTTATAGTTTTCTTAAAACTTCATAATTAGCCCCTATGATCACTGTCTTCTTTATGGAAATACATGAAGATTGCCACTCTGGAATTACAAAAAATCAGTTTCCCTAACCTCTGAACAGATCTCTCTGCTTTGAAGTTACCTGGCCCCACAAATCTGTTGGGAGCCACTCTTATGACTGGATCTTTTATTTAATCAACTTT